AGGGGGAGGGAAAGGGGAGGCGGCGGTGGGGAAGAGACAGAAATCTTTAATAAATAAATAAATAAATTAAAAAAAAGATACAGCTTACAATCGAGAGAGAAAAGACGTGGGTCGTGGCCAGCTGGTGACTGTGGTTAAGCCATCCAAACATTTGTATCTTCGTGTTTGTGCCTAACGTGATAGGAAGGCTTGCTATGTGTATCTCAGGAAGTTTTGTGGGGGTCAAATGAAAGAACATTGTGAAAGGAAAGGATACTACACAAGTGACCTTTTGAAAATGTCCTGACGTTTGGATGAAGTGTTCCAGCCTGTGTCCTTCTTTGATAAATATTTCCAGCTATAAAGCGCTCGGTGGAGAACTTGCAGAGAAGCATAATAAAATGTCATTACCTCATGACTACACTCTGTGACAACTCCAGCATAGCGTGTGTAGTTTAACAGGACAGTTTTTTACATGCAAAACAGCACCACAGAGTGACATTACCTCACGGTAAAAAAGAATAAGAAATAACAAAGCTGTGCTGCTGTTTTAACAACAGTGTGCTCCAATGGCTTGAAGCTAACATGAGTTCGAATCTCGGATCTGGCAATTCCATGTCTTAGCTTCCGGAGCTTCCAATTCTTATTCCATGTGGTAGAATTGTTGGAGAGTTCACATGGTACAGACTAGGTGGTGTATCTGGAGCATACTAGGTAGTGAAGTGGGAGGTGTTAGTAGAAAGATGCAGAATGCTGCTGGCCAATCAGGACACTGAAATAACTAGAGAGACATCCGCACAGCCTTTGTATCTGCTTCCTCGTACCCAGGGAGGATGACCCTCTCACTACGTATGACAGTTTATGTCCTCACCCATATTCTTGTCCTGCTTCAGACTTCCTTGTAGCTTAATATTGAGATGTGTGTTTATTTGCTTGTCTGTCTCTCTCACTATCATCTGAGGTAAATAAGAGCTGTCTCTTCCCTTGAGGTAGAGGTGAAAGATATTTGTCTGCCCTCTGATGTATGCTTCATGCCCCGAGCAAGGACTAGTATTAGTAGATGCTCAGTTACATTATTTGATGTGGAGGAATCTTACGTTAATTAAGAGCTATTGTTTATAGTGCTTCCTAGTGCCTTATGTGATAGCCAGGTACTACAATCACTAGTCAATATGTATGGATTTTTTTTAAAATAGCTCCTCCAGACCAAAGATTCTGTAAAAATTGTTAGCCTAATCCTATATCTCAGCATCTAGGACTGTACCTGGCACACAGTCTGCTCTTGGTGAATATATTTTGACTCAATGGTGCCTGTCCCTTCAACTAGTAGACATTCATTTTACAGCATTGCATTTGGTGATAAGGTTGTATAGTCATAACTGCAATTTATTCTGCATCTGTCTGCATGGGATACAGGCATAAACATGTTACTCCACATAGTGAGAAGATAAATAATAGGAAGGTATGATAGGGACAGAGAGAGCAAGCTGCCTGGTGGCCTGCTGGTTGTGGTGGTCCATGGAGGATCGGGTCAATCCACAACAAGTGCAGGAACTCAGAGTGCATGTTTAGCTATGGCAAGCAAAACCACCACAATGCTTTTTATTATACTTTGCATAGGTATCAGACTGCAACAGATTGGAAATTTCCAAAAATGGTCTACTTCATCCTAATTGGAAGGAGGAGTGACTAATTATATTTGGTTATATTATGGCTCCTTGGGGAGGCAACTGGGATGGGATTGGATAGTGCAGTAGGGTTTTGTAGGGGGGGGTCTTGTTGCTTAGGAAAGAATGTGTACACATGTGTGGCCCAGAACCATAACCAGTGAGAAGAAGCTGTGGTGCAAGTGTTCTTGGGAGGGAGGGTGTTGATGCCTTAGAAATGATGAGGAGACCCCTTTATGATCTCCGAGGAGAGCAGAACTACCTTTGTGGGTGAGGGCAACGTCGGTACACACATGATCTGATGTGAGCTCATCTTCCCACTTTCCCATAAAGGCTGCCTCTCAGTGTCCCTTTGTCTTTGGTTCACCCTGCAGTAGGGTAGGTTACTACTGTACTTTTAGGCCCTCAGTGTTTATTTTCCTGACTAACCCAAAGAGCATAGCTTGCTTTGGCGCCTGTGGAGTTTTCCAGCACTCTTGTTCTTTGTCTTAACTTCCAGCTTTACAAACCCTGGTCCTTCCATGAGTCCGGGCACCCATTCCAGCACCTAGACACAGCCCTTGGCAGGCAGAGTCAGCCAGGGTCTACAAGAAGCTGAGTGCTGACATACCCATGTTGGCAGCTCACATTCTCAGGTGGGAGCTGATGCTGCCTGGCTGTCTCCAAACCCTCATCCTCTGCTCCTAGGAGAAAATCTGGACTTCCCACTCATCTGTGGTAAGAGTCTAGGCATGTAAACAGATGGGCAGAGGGAGCCAATCACAGTGGTTCATGACTTCTGCTGGGTTCCTTGATTGAGTGAGCCAGAGTGCTGTTTTATTTCACTGCCTGCCAGCTGGCCTCCTCAAACTGTGTTCTTTCATTCATTCAGAATGTATGCAGGTCATCTACTACGTGTACTGGACCCTTTGTGGGGACTCTGGCATCAGCAGTGACACAAGCTGGCATGGCCCTAGACCTCAGGGAGGTATCCTCTCAAACTCCCTCTGGTACAGTGCTTCATTCTGCACTTGAAACACCGCCAAAGACTTGCAGTGTAAAGAGGCTTTAGACCAGGGGTTCTCAACCTGTGGGTCATGACTCCTTTGGGGGCCGAATATCAGATATCCTGCATCAGATATTTATATTGTGATTCATAATAGTAGCAAATTACAGTTATGCAATAGCAATGAAGTAATCTTATGGTTGGGGGTCACTACAACATGAGGGACTGTATTAAAGAGTCATAGCATTAGGAAGGTTGAGAACCACTTCTTTAGTGTTCCCTCTGCCAGTCACATGGCACAGGACCACATATGTGCTAACCACTGCCATTCATGAACTCCTGAGTTGGAACTAGTGGCATCTCCACAGGACACTTGAACACGGTGATACACAGAGCCCTTAAATAACCATAGGCTCAAATGACAGGGGTAGAGGGGCATTTGACCTCAGCATCTATCATATGCACCATATTCTGCTGTGCAGTGGTCCCTGTCACCAGTATGTTAGTGACACAACCCCTAATGAAAAATTTAGTTCTCAGTTGTCTTTATGGTTCCATTCAGACTAGATTATTGCTTTCACTTAGTCTATAGTATTTTAGTATTTAGGATAGTTTCAACCTTAAGGTTCCTCTTGGTAGCTGGAAACCATATTGTTCATTGTCGGAAGAGGAAGAAGCTGTTGGGTATCATTTTTCAATCAACCGGGAGGCCTTTGTTTTGATGTCTAAAGTCTCAAGATGGGAGTCTTAATACTGCACCAGGGACTTACCCACGCACTGCTCTCCCCGCTTCTGATACCCCGGAAGACACTGGCATGTGAAGGAACCACGTAAGTTGATGCACACTTGGTCCTCTCTGCAGTTGTGGGTCCCCGAGGCACACTCATCGATATCTGGGAAAGACATGCAATACAGAAAGAATTCCAGCTGTTTGTGAAGATATGGAGGCCCTCTTTTCATTTTTCTTAAACTGAATTTTACTTTATTCTTTAAAAGCATTATAAAATGATTTTATAATGTTGGAGATATTTAAAATAAAAAAAATATTTCAAATGCTTATAAAATATTTTCAGAATTACCAGTGTGTACACCTGAGATTTACGAGGTCCTAATAATTTTTATACCTAGCTTAGCAATTTACTCCATCTTCTTCCTTTTATCTATCACCCATCACGTTCCCAGTATGCATGAATGCTTCCCTAAGACAGTCCTATACTTTTATTAGATAGGGATACCTATGAGAACACACAACCACTATTTGTAAGACTGAAGCAGGAGGATCTCCAATTTAAGTCTAGCCTGGGCTACAGGGGAAGTTCAAGTCCAGCCTTGGCAACTTAGACTCTATCTCAAAACTATAAGTACAATGAGACTAGAATATAGCACATTGGTAAAGCACTTTCCTTGTATATGTAATGCCCTAGGTGCCATCACCAGCAACATACATATGTAGATACACTTACATAAAAGGTGAGAGAGAGAATTAAATTAGATTGCACGACTCCTACTTTTGCTATCAAGTGCTTTTAAATTTGAGAGACCTTCTTATAAATCTTATTATTGTATAGTCTCTCTTCTGATTCTGGTGTCTTTTACTCACATGGCAGAATAACATGTATGTATAAAGTTTTCATTACAAAACTCAAAATGAAAAGCACCAATTTGATCATATTCTTCTAGGACAGATATGTTAGTGTAGTTGATAGTCTCCTAAGAGATTTTACTTTGAACGATTGCTACATGTGCTTCAGTGGGAAACAAGTTCCAGTTTTAGCAAAGAGGGGAAGTTACCAAGGAAGACAACTTATAGAGCCTGTTCCTGACCAAAGTGTGCTAGGAATTTGTGTGACCATTCACCGCCACTTGTAGGTAGAATTCATTTTGCCTTGTCTGTATCCTTCACAGTCATTCAGAAATCACATAGCCACCAGGAAGATAGATTTCAAAGAGGGGCTACATAGTTTTGGTATTCTCTAACAACTGAAGACTAAGCTTTAATAAAATGTCACAAAACATGTAATTTCTAGATGACCATTTCTTCATAACCAAGATAGACTTGCTGGGGAGTGAATTTTTGATCATCACTGTGGGAACCCCAAGGTGGTGGGCTGAGCATCAATTAAAAGAAATCAATTTTCAGCAATGAGAACTAATTATGCTTTCTCTTTTCCACCTAAGCAGAAAGTGGCTTTTGTGTTATTTTGTTTGGATTTTTTTTTTAAATTTCAAGGAGAATTGAATTGTTGCACTCATGCTAAGCAAAGCCATAAAGTAAGTCATTCATTTTATAAGAAGTCATTCTGAGATAATCACTCCACTTAGCCTGGAGCAGTAGGAGAGATTCTGTCCAGAAAGAGAGGGAGAGAGAGGATGAGGATGCTCCAGCGACTGACGCACGATTGCCCATTGGATAAACCTGGTAAGGCTTTCTTTGACACAAAATTCTTGGCACCTGATTTTAAACATCAGCAAGGTTTTTTTTTTGTTGCTGTTGTTCTGAAATGCATTAACACTGTCACTATGATGCTGTTTTCCAATCTACCCCAAAGGGCCCTTTCGAGGTGAAAGGCCACGGAGCAGTGACCGTGCTGTGAAGTCAGCTGCTCCCTTTCATGCCTTGTTATTTTCTCAAAGCACTTGATGAAAACCTTCTCTACTGGGATTCTTTGGCGCTTTATGACTCCCTAATGCAGAAATGACAGCAGAATTCCTATTGTTTTATGTCAGGAACATCTGCCAACATTTGCCGTGATAACAGCCCTGCGAGATAGAGTCCTGGTAGATCCAACTGTGGCAAGCTCCCTCTGTCCGTGCTGGCAGCAGATCAAGGACTCGGGCCGGCTTGGCACTGCTGAAGGAGGCCTCGCCAGTGACGGAGGCTTCACTGTTTGCAAGCACTCTGTGCAAACTGCCTCCACCTCATCACATTCTGGGTGTCCTGCAAGTTCCTTTCCATTTTCCCATCGTTTGCTTCCAAGTGTCTTTGATAGACCGACCATCGTTTCCCCTGGGATCAATGTATCATGAAATAGTTTTTAAACATACAAACCTGTAAGGCTCCTTTCTAAGAGTCTGCTCTAGTTAGCTTCTATAAAGAATTATTTATTAAAAAATATCCAGTGAGTTACAGTAATTTAATAAAGGCAAAGACCCAAATACACAATTATGCCACTCCAACTACCTTATTTTCCTTTCTTTACCCAAAACAAAAAAGCTGTGATAGAATTTTCTTCATCTAGTGAGCATGAATTGGTGGATGCAATGTTCCTTTGACCCGCACTTAGAAATGCTCAAAGCATAACCTCCATGACCTGGAGGCAGCGTCATCTGCATTTCTGTTTGCATCGTTCTAACCGCAGGGTAGAGTATTTATTCTCCCCAGCCCTCACATTTAGCAGCTTAGTTAAAGCTAAAGAATCCCAGCGGCCTGAACTTCTGTGGACTGTCTTCAATTACAGTATCTATTTAAATGCCGCAATGCTATTGTTTGGAAGATTCTATTATTGCTTGCTTATACACTCACACAAAGGCATGTTAAACAATTAAACATTTTTAAACCTTTTCGTGCGTTTCTTTCCTGCTTGTCTGTGGTCAGAAGGCTCAGGGTGACACTCTGTCACCATTCCAGGGCGCTGCAACCACTGCTGTGGCAGGAACGTCTGTTGTTTGTGAGCAGAACTCACTTCCTGCATCTGTTTGGGAGGCCATCTGCGTGGGCAAAGCCCGGCTTTATTTAACAGGAAAATGACTCAGGTCAGCCATGTTTTCCTGAGAATCTAGGAACAAACGCTCTGGGGAAAGGACTTTTATGTTTTTGTTTTCAATTATCCATCATTTGTCCTTGACAGCGAAGCTCATTTCCCCTGCTCACTATAGCGCATGGAATGTGATGGGTTTTTTTGTTTTTCAGTAGATGTTCACCCAATTAATGGATGAATGAATGATTACCTTGGTGCTCAGGGTTTACAGAAAGCAGGACCACCACTGTAGCTTATGGAAGTAAAATTCATAAGGCAGAGTAGCAGGCAGGCCTGAGGAGCGCGGCAGAATCAACTCTGCTTCTGAGTGGGAACAAGGGAAAACCGTTGAGTCTGGAGGACTCTCAGCCTACGCTGGCCAGAGTGATTAGCCGTAGCATCTTTGCAGAGGAGGTGGGTCCTGAGCTGCCGGGTGAAGGGGATGAGATACAGGATCTGATAGTGGAAGGAAGCTCTCTTTTTGAAGGCAAGTCCCACAAGAAAGAGACCCAGCAACTCTGCAGAGAATGGCAGGGAGTTGGAGTCAGCCCGGTGCTGGGTCTGGCAGAATGTGCTCAGCAAATGCGTGCCCAAGTCACTAGCAGAATCCAGAGACCTAAATGGAGGATTCGAAGGTTTGTATTGAACACTACAGCGAACAGCTGTTAATGAAACAGCCATGGATAATGTTAACACTACCAAGAACAAAACAGCAGAACATGCTTCCTAAAATCCCACAACACTTTTAAACATTCTGATAGATTGAGAATAACTTAAAAGTGTCCTCATCTCCCTGCTTGTGATTTATACTACTGTAGGTATTTCTTTTCTTGACACTGACAACCTTAGTTGCCTTAAATAATCCAGTACAGTCGTTGCTGAGCCTCCTATCAGGCTTGCCCCAGTCAGTGGCACTGCAGATCTGTCATTATCTGCAAGCGAACACGGATGGTGTCCATTCACTGGTGTCCCCTAGGCCCTGCTTAGGCCTTTGTTCTCTGGTTTTGGCTTCTTTCCTTGTATTCTGACTCATAGTTTCCAAATCCCTGACTCATGTTGTGCTCTCTCTTATGCAACATTTTAATCTCTGCAATGTTCTTTCCATAATTTGATAACTTACCACGACATGGAGTCACTTCAGCGTGTTTTATGGGCAAGAGTGACATGCAGTATAAGCGCTCAGTAGTACCACGTTGAATCTCTTGAGTTTAAGAAGTGACTCCCGACCACTTTTGAGGAAGGCGGCTGAAGTGACTGATTCTGTGGCTGCCCATGTGATCTAGGACTGTGGCCTCAGTGAACTTTTTCAGTGGAAGGAGTTGATGGATGAGGATCTTAGGGATTTGGAGGGTCTTTATTTTCAAAATTATTGGAGGGGGTAGAAACTTCTTAGCAAAAGCTGAGGACGTCGTTGTTTTGCCTTTGTCTTATCTAATATTGGCTGCTGGTAATTATGATCCTGGTGATCCATTAATGTTACTGATTAAAATCTCCTTAGAGGAGAGTGTATCCTATTTAATATAGCATTGCATAGACATTTATTAAAGCTCTGAAACAAATTGGCATAAAGTAGATAAATAGTTTCTACACAGAAAGAGTTTCTTTTTTAATTTATTTATTTCTTTATTAACTAAAGATTTCTGTCTCTTCCCCACCGCTGCCTCCCCTTTCCCTCCCCCTCCCCCAATCAAGTCCACCTCCCTTGTCAGCCCAAAGAGCAATCCAAACTGCCTAGGCTCCCACAAAACCAATAGGTGCAGTAGGATCAAAAACCCATTGCCATTGTTCTTGAGGTCTCAGTAGTCCTCCTTGTCCGCTATGTTCAGCGAGACCGGTTTTAACCCAGGCTTTTTCAGACCCAGGCCAGCTGGCCTTGGTGAGTTCCCGATAGAACATCCCCATTGTCTCAGTGTGTGGGTGCGACAGAAAGAGTTTCTTAAGAAGTCGGATTACTCCAGGACATCTGGGGAAACAGAAACAAACTACTGCCTACAGTTGACAGGCGAGGAAGGAGGATGCTAGTGACATGTAGAGTCAGAGCTGCCTGTTGTTGCAGAAACCTCATGTTCAAAGCCCAGGCTCCCTTTTGCTCCTTCTGTGATTTAGTTCTCCACAGACTTTTCTCCCACAAATGTGGGTAGCAAAAGTTGAGCTGCAGGCATGTATACTTTAACTTTTTTTCCTCAGGATTAGAAGATGGCTAATCATGTCATACCTGGGTTCTTCCCCGTGTCTTTCTTTTGCTTACAGTTAGATTTCTAGCTCTCTGTGCTTTCCGCTTCCTTTCCCAGTCTTTAGCCACTTATCAACAATTTTTGTCAAAGACTTTCTAGTTCCCATTTTGCTTCCTTTATAGAGCCGGGATCAGATTTATCTGGCAACATGCCCAGTTCCAATTGGCTTTTCACCCTTTAGCTAGAATTCACCAGAGCTAAGCAGTTCTAGTGGAGAAAAGAGATATTTACTAACAGAGGGGAACTGTCATCATTGTGGCCAGCAGGAGATTTATAGCTCTAGATTCTTATCAATTTTGGCAAAGCGTAGATAACAATTTGGTGTGCTTTAAGTGATAAACAAAAACATCATCAAAATCAGCTTCAGCCCTCTTGGTGGTTCAGTCTTTGTTTTAGAAAGTGACCAAATCCAATGTCCTGGAAATCCTTGGCACTGTACCATGTTCTGGTAGAGTTTTGTAATATGCTGTTCCCATGTTTAAAAAGTGATACATGTATCAGGTTTGCTTCTTCAGCAATGAGGGTGGATTTGCATGGAAGATGAACCTTTGCTCACCTAGCTTTCCATGGAACAATGGATTCCAAACACAAGCAGATTAGATGGGGTTCATTGTATCATTCATAAATGTGGAAGGAAAACCAATGGGTTCACATGAATGCTTAAGCTGCGACTTCTCTCCACTATTCACCCAGCAGATGTCCCCTACGTTATAGGCCGAAACAGAAGAAAGAAGACAGAGGCACACATGCTCATTCTTTAGTGCTCTTCATGCACTGGGAAAGTGCAGCTGATTGTACTCAGAGAATTAAAGCAACATTTCCTACACATAAATATTTTAGTATTGGGATATTTTCAGGCATCTGTGTGATGGTATCATACCCAGATGAACTCGTTTTTGTTTGTTTCTCAAACATAATTACTTCCCAGGTATGTTTGGGGAAAGGTGCCCTAGAATAGGGGGTACTATGGTCCAGTGGTCCAACTGCAACCTTGGGGAGTGTGACTATATTTTGGAATATCAGTCTTGGCTCTTGAGTGGCTGGGTACTAGGAATAAAAGCCCTTCTGTATGGCAATTCAAATTTGTTCTATAAGGTTGGTCATTATTTTTAAATATTGATTAAAAATAGATGGTCTTCTCAACATAAAGCCAGCCACACTGAACCTCATAGAAGAGAAAGTGGGAAGTACACTTGAACACATTGGCACAGGAGACCATTTCCTAAATATAACCCCAGTAGCACAGACACTGAGAAAAACAATTAATAAATGAGACCCCCTGAAGCTGAAAAGTTTCTGTAAAGCAAAAGACACGGTCAACAAGACAAGACAACAGCCTACAGAATGTAAAAGATCTTCACTAACCCCACATCAGACAGAGGGCTGGCCTCCAAAACATACAAAGAACTCAAGAAATTGGTAATCAAAAGAACAAATAATCCAATAAAAAAGTGGATTACAGACCTAAACAGAGACCTCTCAACAGAGAAATCTAAAATGACTGAAAGACACTTAAGGAAATGTTCAACATCCCTAGTTATCAGAGAAATGCAAATCAAAACAACTCTGAGATTCCATCTTACACCTGTATGAATGGCCAAGATCAAAAACACTGCTGACATCTTATGCTGGAGAGGTAGTGGGGTAAAGGGAACACTCCTGCATTGCTGGTGGGAATGCAAGCTGGTACAACCTCTTTGGATGTCAGTCTGGTGATTTCTCAGAAAATTAGGAAACAACCTTCCTCAAGACCCAGTAATACCACTTTTGGGTATATATCCAAAGAATGCTCAATCATACTGTAAGTACATGTGCTCAACTATGTTCATAGCAGCATTGTTTGTCATAGCCAGAACCTAGAAACAACCTAAATCCCTCTTTACCAAAGAATGGATAAGGAAAGGGTGGTACATTTACACAATGGAGTACTACATAGCAGAAAAAATGACAGCTTAAAATTTGCAGGCAAATGGATGGAGCTTGAAAACATCATATTAAGTGGGGTAACCCAGACCCAGAAAGACAATTATTACATGTACTCACTCATAAGTGGTTTTAAAACATAAAGCAAAGAAGACCAGCAAACATCACAATCCCAGAGAATTTAGACAACAAAGAGGACCCTAATAGAGTCATATACATGAATCTAATCTACATGGGAAGTAGAAAAAGACAAAAGCTCCTGAGTAAATTGGGAGCATGGGGACCATGGGAGAGGGTTGAAGGGAGGGGAGAGGCAGGGAGGGGAGCAGAGAAAAATGTAGAGTTCAGTAAAACCAATAATAAAAAAAGAATGGTCTTGGGTATAATTCTGATCCTACTGATCATGGGATGTGTTTGTATCTGTGTTTTGTGGGTGTCTTGGCACTGGCCAGTTCCTGAAACCCAAATCAAACTCTGGCAAGTTATGAGTTGAATGGAGACCAATTCCACTTCTGGAACCTACTAAGTCCCCATGAGCAGTGTGACTTGAGCTGGTCTCCTGCCTGGAGACCTTATAGCTGGGTCAGTACCCCTACCCCAAAGCAAACACATTCTTGGCTTTCTCCTTTAGGTAATCATCACTTGAAGTGACACAAGCCTCTGGCTA